AGGACATTAGATGGTTGATTTGTGGAGTTTTCCACAGATTTGGGTTTTTCTTATTAGCATATTTGTAGTATCGTTTGACATGTTGCTCTGTCTTCTGTAATTCCTGCAAATTTCCAGCTGGATCCAGAGACTTTATAGTCTTGCCAATAGATTAAATCCTAGTCTCATAGATTATTTATTTATCAGAAGGCTTATAATGTGTGATTTTTGGTCTCTTTTTAAATGACAGTAGCCCTCCATGCTCAGTGCCTAGACTTTTGCTTCATTTGAAATTGTATAATGGTCATATTTGCTAAGTCGACTGCACAATAACAACAAGAAGTGGTGATATTCTAATTATAACTTTGGTTTCCTATATCGTCTGGAATAATTTTTTAAGGACAGCCTTATTTACTAGTATTTGGGTTCTTTGTGCTGTAGTTCATATAGGAAAGGCAGGATAAATCTTTGATTATTTTTTTATCCAGTTTTCAAAGTAATGAATTGGTTCTCTGTCATTCTCAAAGGGTTACCAGCTAGTTTTCTTTTTAAAATTTTGTTGTTGTTCAGTTGCTAAGTTGTGTCTTGACTCTTTGCGACCCCATGGACTGTAGCACACCAGGCTTCCCTGTCCTTCTGTGTCTCCTGGAGTTTGCTCAGATTCATGTCCATTGAGTTGGTGATGCTGTTTAACCATCTCATCCTCTGCCACCCCCTTCACCTTTTGCTTTCAACCTTTCCCTTTCAACCTTTCCCAGCATCAGGGTCTTTTCCAGTGAGTCAACTCATCCATCAGGTGGCCAATGTATTGGAGCTTCAGCATCAGTCCTTCCAATAAGTATTCAGGTTTGATTTCCTTTAGGATTGACTGGTTTGATCTTGCAATCCAAGGGTCCCTGAAGAGTCTTCTCCAGCATCACGATTTGAAAGCATCAATTCTTCAGCACTCAGGCTTCCTTATGGTGCAATTCTCACATATGTATGTGACTTCTGGAAAAACCATATCTTTGAATATACAGACTTTTGTTGACTATACAGAAAGGGATGTCTCTGCTTTTTAGTACACGGTTTAGGTTTGCCATAGCTTTCCTTCCAAGAAGCAACAAGCATCTTTTAATTTCATGGCTATAGTCACCATCTGCAGTGATTTTGGAGCCCAAGAAAATAAAATCTGTCACTGCTTCCACTTTTTCTCCTTCTATTTGCCATGTAATGATGGGACCAGATGCCATCATCTTAGTTTTTTAAATGTTGAGTTTTAAGACAGCTTTTTCATTCTCTTCTTTCACCCTTATCAACAGGCTCTTTAGTTCCTCTTCACTTTCTTTAGAGTGGTATCATCTGCATATCTGAGGTTGTTGATATTTCTCTCAGCAATCTTGATTCCAGCTTGTGATTCATCCAACTTGTGATTCATGTTTTTAAAATACCATTATCAGTTTATAGATTTGTTATTTGGTGGATTTCATTCACGTCACTGAAGTAGCTACCCTTATTGAAGCTCAAATTATTTCTTCTTTGGCCAGTGAAAGCCTCTCTAACTTGACTCCTGGGTCCTTTTGACACAGTTCTCATAGTCATTGATTGCTTCCTGTATCTGTTGTAGAGGAGGGAGATTTTACCCTTATCCACTTAGGGTTCTTTTTGGCAGGGCCTGTGAATTAAATTGACATGAGACAGATGAACAGGAGGAAAGTTTGCACAATTTATTTAATATAAACTTTATGCGACCCCAGAGCCCTCCTAAGGAGTGACGACCCAAAGAAATTATGAAACTTAACTTGCTTTTATATTAAGTGGAACAAAGGGAGGTGATTTGGAAAGATGACTACAGTTTATGGGGAGGCTAAAAGGGAGATAGTTATTTTTAAAGAGGCCTGTTTGTGTAGAATTCTGTCTCAACTTCTTGCCCTTGAGAATAAGAATGTTACTTTTCCAAAAATAAAAAAAGAATGTTACTTTTCCTTCTGATATAGGGAGGCCATCTCTCATATGGGAATTTCATCTCCTGCTTTTAAGAAAAAGAAGGAATGTCAGGGTGTTTTTCTGGTATTTAGTGTTTTCAAGTGCCTTTAACTCAAAATATCCAGTATGCCAACGTGGCTTCTTTTTGGGTGGCACATTCTGACTTCCTCCACATATATTTAGATGTTTGGACTCATGTTATACATTTCTTGCTTCCAGACTTGGAATCAGCTAATTCTCTAAGAAACCTTGGTTTCATTTAGTAATAAATGGTATTTCAAGACCTCAATCTTGGTATAAGGAATGCTATTTGCTACTGGGCTGGTCGTTGTTTCCTGACCTTTTTAGTGATTAGAGCGGAGAAGTATATTTAAGATAAAAGACCTTGTGAGTTCATCCTGTTTCTAAGTTCAGGACTACAGGGTTTTTACTTAACAACTTCTGATATATGTATCTCCGTGTCAAAAATCCTGATTTTCAAGGACATGGGATGGATAGGAATAAGACATTTCGGAATTACTCATTAGTTTTATCCCACATTACACATACAGCATCTATTTACAAAATGCTACCACAACTGGTTATGATTACTGAAAACATTACAAAAAATTTTTGCATGTGCTATTTCCAGTCTCCTCTTTTTTTCTTACAAAGTTTTCTATCTACATTGTCAGATTATATAGCCATTATATAATATTATCTTTCTTCTAACCCTCATTTAGTCTTAGATCTACAAGGAACATATTTGACTCATCAGTTCCTTATGTTGATGTGTTCTCCTCACTCTTGCTTGTTCTCTAGTATAGTCTTTATTTAGGACTCAAGATAACAATATTCACTGAATTTTGGCATGTTGGGAACAGTTGGTGCTGTGAATACTTGAAGGTCAGTTTTGCTAGATAGAAAATCCTTGGATCACAATTTTTTCCTTGAGATCTTAAATCTGTGACTCCATTTTCTTGCATAAAATGTTAACAAAAATTCTGATGAAAATTATTTAAAATATGTGTAGGTAATTTCTTTTTAAATCATGTGCTCATTTTTGTTTCTAGCATTTATTCTAGTTCTGGCCTTAGTTTTCCTCTCCAGAAACTGTTATCTGTATGTTATTTCTTCTTTGCCTGCCTTCAACATTTGTCACTTTATCTTAAATAATTTTTATCTTTCTTTGTTTATTTTTGTTTTTCATTAAAGTATTCCTTTTTTTAAACTTGCTCTTCCTCATGTGAGTGAAAGTCGCTCAGTTTTGTCCAGCTCTTTGCAACCCCATGGACTACACAGTCCATGGAGTTCTCCAGGCCAGAATACTGGAGTGGGTAGCCGTTCCCTTCTCCAGGGGATTTTCCCAACCCAGAGATTGAACCCGGGCCTCTTGCATTGCAGGCGGATTCTTTACCAGCTGAGCCTCAAGGGTTTCCCTGGTGGGAAAACTCCTGGCTGTTCCTCATGAGTTAGTGGTTATTGTGTTTGCTGTCTTGTTCCTTCTGCTTTAATGTTTATTTCTGAAATGAGTTTTTCCTTTTGTTTCTAACTCTTAAATTGTCCCTTCATTTCTGAATTTTTGAAAACCTGAGTTATGATGTTCGTTCATGGCTTGTATAATATTCTTAGTGATTTTAAGCTTATTTTGAAGTAGTATATTACAGTTTTGATCCATTTTTTGAGCGTGTCCTCCTCCTGACATGCTGTTTTGTTTGCAGGGATGTTATTTTGCTCTTCACTTTCTTTTTTTCTTACAGTAACATTATATGGTGTTTCACTTCATTATACTTTTCTGTTGCTCATTTTTGGGTATATTCATTTTTCCTGAACTGTTACAGGGAAGCTTGATTCAGATAGCTTTCCTTTCTTTTCAGAGCTCTCTCTTCTGGTGTGTTCAGGCAATGTTAAAAAGAAAAACAGTGACTTTCTGAGATTTCAGTTTTGTTTCCCTTGCCCAGTTTTATCTGGACTCTCTCTTTTTTTTCATCTTTATTGTCTCCTTCCTGCCCTGTTTTTATTCCATTGCTAGTAGTTTCTTCTCAGTGTGGGGCCCTTCTTGGACAGAAGCCCTGGTGAATCAATTTTGAGAAGTCATAGATGCTAGACCGTTCTAGGCCTTTCCACTGGTCCTTTGCATATATACTGCAGATTGGAGTAGGCAAAATCATTCCCAGTTTCAGTGGCTTTTCTCAAAATGGCTCAGTATACTTTTTGGTGAACACTTGTTGATTATTTGGGTTTTTCATCATCTCAGATTTATTGTGACACGCTGCTATTTACCTCTGCTTTCTCTAACATGGGCACTTAACACACGTTGGGGTATGGCTATATATCTATCTATATTGGACACAATATTTGTATTGTAGGTATACAAAATAATCTACCTGTGTTTTGGGGCCTCAGGTTCTTGCAGATACTTTTTCATCTGTTTTTGTTGTTAATGTTTCATAAGCATTTGTTTTTCAAATCTATGTTATGTAGTGATTTGGGAAGAACCAGAATGTATGAAACGACTTACCTGGTAGCTCAGAAGGTAAATAATCTGCCTGCAATGTGGGAGTCCCTGGTTCGATCCCTTGGTTGGGAAGACCCCCTGTAGAAGGAAATGGCAGCCCACTCCAATATTCTTTTTTTTTTTTTTTAACATATTCAGTGTTTTTTTTTTTTTTTTCCATTGTTGAAAATAGTTCATTTTTTTTTTTTTACATGTATTCCCCATCCCATATTCAGTGTTTTTATTTAATTTTTTTCAGCAGACAATTTACATACCTCCCCACCCCTTCCTTTGAGTTAGTGTTGACAACGTTCCATAATAAACTACTTAAAAAGAGAAGCTTTGGTCAAGAATGGAATGAAATTGCAAAACAAAACAACCCCCCAAACAAAACCCAAATCACTGCTGCTTTAAAAAAACCAACACTTTCACCAATTATGTTCAAACGAAACACACAAGGATGTTTGCGCCATGTGCGTCTTCAGTGTGCTGGCGGCGGGCTCCCCTCCCCGTGCGAAGGGCAGAGCTGCCCTGGCGCAGCTGGTCCGTCCTCATGCTGGGTCTGGAGGCATGCTCAGCTTCACATTATCCGAAGACCCTGGATGGAAGACTCTAAGGTCTTGAAATCCCAAATGGTCATGGCTCCGTCGATGCCGGTAGTGCAAAATTTGCGACAGTCTTGCTTGTCCACCTCACAAATAGACACTTGGGTGATGCTGTTCTGGTGTAGCGTCTCCAGCGCCATGTTGCGGTCCTTGGTCGTGGCCCTCTTGTCCATGTTGCGGAAGCACTCTATGGCCAACATGTTGCGCTTGGATGCTCTGTTTAGGGATGTCCAGCTTGGAGACAAAGGTCAAGCAGCCGCGGTTGTCGTAGTTAAAGAGCATGGGGCAGCAATCGTGTCGTAGCCACGACACTGTTCTCTGAGATGAACGACACACTCAGGAGGGGCAGGAACTCCGTCTTCAGAGTTGAGACCTGCACGCTTTCTGAGGCGTCGGCAACGGACACGGTGCTTTCGTGTCTGACCCAGGCCAGGCGCTGCCACTGGCCGAGAAGCTGACCCCGTGCACCCAGCCGCCGGTGCCGCTGCCACCGAACTCGGACATCAGCTGACCAAAAGGCATCTTGCTGCCCCAGGGCGTGCTGGCTGGCTTCTCATCCACTTCTTTAATGTAGGCAGAAAACACTCTGTATTTGAAGTCGCAGGATCCCGCGGCTAGCAAGACGTTGTTGGGATCCCAATCCAAGCTGAGGACCGTGGAGCGGATGGGCTTTTTAATGTGCTTGCTCACCCACCAGTCATTTTCAGACTCAAAGTAACAGATGGAGATGAGTCGTGCTCCGCTACCCACAGCAAACTTGTTCTCTAGCGGGGACCACTTGACGAAAGTGGCTGCCCGGTTAATTCTCAGGATCACCAGGGTTGGCTTCCAGACACCATCCTTCTGACTCCAGACGTAGGTGTTGCGGTCAGCCCCGCAAGTGACGATGCGGTCATTCTTGGGAGCCCAGTCGATACCTGTGATGTGTCCATTGTGCTCCTTGAGTTCATGAGCTTTCACCCACTGGCCCCCGTTCTTCTTATAGATGTTGACTTCGTGATTATTGGGGCTAAGGGCGATCTGGGTACAATCCCTGTTCCAGGCATGACAGGTGATTGGCTCCAGTAAAAATTGATGCAGGGACATTATTCTCAGTGTTTTCAAAGGATAGAAAGCTGGGATCGGGGCCGTCCGGACGGGCTCGGAGCGTTGAATTCGCGGACTCTGGTCAGTCGATGCGAATAGGCTCCGGCGGGCGCGGGCGGAGGACCGAGGCTCACTCCAATATTCTTGCCTGGCAAAATCCCATGGACAGAAGAGCCTAGCGGGCTACAGTCCATGGGGTTGCAAAGAGTCGGACATGACTGAGTGACTAACACTCAGAATGTATGTGGCCACTACAGCCATCTTTAGAGCCCAAGTATTGATCTTTCAATGCACTGTTATTTCAAGTTGCACATATAATTCTTAAAGGAATGTTTTGCACCTGTGTTCATTGAGTTTGGCTTGTAGGGTTTTTTATGTGCTATTTATTATTGTTTATTTCAGGGTTATAATAAGTGCCCCCAGAAAACTTCCATGGATTTGGAGGGCCATTGTCCCATGGCCTGTTCAGTTCCATCTGTATTAAAGTAGTCAAGAGGCCCATCCAGGTCAGGAGACAAGCCCCATGCTGGTCCTAATGTTGACTATTATCCCAGATTATTTGCTGGATTGGCCAGATCCACTTTGATACAATCTCAGTATCTTTCCAGGCTGACGCCTATCCTTTGCTTTCCTTCTACAGGAGAACTCCCTCTAACCTGCTTATTCTAGTTACTAAATTATTTTCCTCTGAATCCCATTTCTCATTAAAATTGAATTAATTTCATTTCATGATGTCTGGACTGGCAACTCTTTCCCCTGAGGCCCGTTTCTGTCTTATGGGTCTTGTTTATCCACCAACCATGTTCTTGCCATTGTGTGCAATGGTCTAAGCACAGTTAGGATACCCAAACTGCTCTACCAGCTAATCCTACAAAATTTTGGTTTCTTTAAAGGAATAGGTTATAAAGTCAGTGTTCGATATTTTTATAACCCTAGGATGGCTCCCCCAGCTTGTGCTGTTCCCTCATTGTCTCTTGTAAACTAGCCAGTATATGGTTTTTGTTGTTGTTCAGTCGTGTCTGACTCTTTGCAACCCCTTTGCATACTCTTTGCAACCCTTGCAGCATGCCAGGCTTCCCTGTCCTTCGCTGTCTCCCGGCGTTTGCTCATACTCGTGTCCATTGAGTTGATGATGCCATCCAACCATCTCATTCTCTATTGCCCTCTTCTCCTCCTGCCCTCAGTCTTTCCCAGCATCAGGATCTTTTCCAATGAGGTGGCTCTTTGCATCAGGTGACTAAAGTATTGGAATTTCAGCTTTAGCATCAGTCCTTCTGATGAATATTCAGGGTTGATTTCCTTTAGGATTGATTGATTTGATCTCCTTGCAGTCCAAGGGACTCTGAAGAATATTCTCCAGCACCACAGTTGGAAAGCATCAATTCTTCAGCACCCAGCCTTCTTTATGGTCCAGCTCTCACATTCATACATGACTACTGGAAAAGCCATTAGCTTTGACTTAAATGGACTTCTGATGGCAAAGTGATATTTCTGCTTTTTAGTATGCTGTCTAGGTTTGACATGGCTTTCCTTCCAAGGAGCAAGTCTTTTATTTATTTATTTATTTATTTTTTGCAAGTGTCTTTTAATTTTTCATGGCTGCAGTCACCCCACCGTGATTTTGGAGTCCAAGAAAATAAAACCTGTCACTGTTTCCATTGTTCCCCATCTGTTTGCCATGAAGTGATGGGAACGGATGCCCTGATCTTAGTCTTTTGAATGTTGAATTCTAAGCCAGCTTTTTCACTCTCCTCTTTTACTCTCATCAAGAGGCTTTTTAGTTCCTTTTCGCTTTCTGCCATAAGGGTGGTGTCATCTGCATATCTGAGGTTATTGGTATTTCTCCCAGCAATCTTGATTCCAGCTTGTGCTTCTTCCAGCCTGGCATTTCGCATGATATACTCTGCATATAAATTAAATAAGCAGGGTGACAATATACAGCCTTGACGTACTCCTTTCCCAATTTGGAACCAGTCTGTTGTTCTATGTCTAGTTTTAACTGTTGCTTCTTGACCTGCATACAAATTTCTCAGGAGGCAGGTCAGGTGGTCTGGTATTCCTATCTCTCTAAGAATTTTCCAGTTTGTTGTGATCCATCCAGTCAAAGGCCTTGGCATAGTCGATAAAGCAGAAGTAGATGTTTTTCTGGAACTCTCTTGCTTTTTCGATGATCTAGCGGATGTTGGCAATTTGATCTCTGGTTCCTGTGCCTTTTCTAAATCCAGCTTGTACATCTGGAAGTTCTCGGTTCATGTACTGTTGAAGCCTAGCTTGAAGGATTTTGAGCATTACCTTGCTGGCATGTGAGATGAGTACAGTTGTGTAGTAGTTTGAACATTTTTTGGCATTGCCCTTCTTTGGGATCGAAATGAAAACTGACCTTTTCCATTCCTGTTGCCCCTGCTCAGTTTTCCAAATTTGCTGGCATGTTGAGTGCAGCACTTTCACGGCATATTGAGTGCAGCACTTTCACAGCATCATCTTTTAGGATTTGAAATAGCTTAGCTGGAATCCCATCACCTCCACTAGCTTTGTTTGTAGTAATGCTTCCTAAGGCTCACTTGACTTCACACTCTAGGGTGTCTGGCTCTAGGTGAGTGGCCAATGCCATCTTGCTTATCCAAGATAAACCCTTTGGTACAGTTTTTTGTATTCTTGCCACCTCTTCTGAATATCTTCTGTTTCTGTTAGGTCCTTACTGTTTTTGTCCTTTATTGTGTCCATCTTTGTATGAAATGTTCCCTTGGTGTCTCTGATTTTCTTGAAGAGATCTCTAGTCTTTCCTATTCTATTGTTTTCCTCTCTCTTTTTTTTTTTTGGTATTGTTTACTTGAGGCTTTATTCTCTCTCCTTGCTATTCTTTGGAACTCTGCATTCAGATGGGTATATCTTTCCTTTTCTCCTTTGTTTTTTGTTTTTCTTCTTTTCTCAGCTATTTGTAAGGCGTCCTCAGACAACCATTTTACTTTTCGTTCTCTTGGGGACTGTTTTGATCATGGCCTCCTGTACAGTGTCACGAAGCTCTGTCCATAGTTCTTTAGGCATTCTGTCTGTCAGATCTAATCCCTTGAATCTATTTGTCACTTTACCGTATAATCATAAATTTGATTTAGGTCATACCTGAATGACCTAGTAGTTTTTAGTACTTACTTTAAATCTGAATTTTGCAATAAGGACTTCATGATCTGAGCCACTGTCAGCTCCAGGTCTTATTTTTGCTGACTGTATAGAGCTTCTCCATCTTTGGCTGCAAAGAATATCATCAATCTGATTTGGGTACTAACCATCTGGTGGTGTCAGTGTGTAGTGTCATCATCTGTGGTTTAGCCTCTTTCTTTACTCTCATGCTGCTTGCCTTTCACCAACACCCTCTACTTTCTTGAGAGCACCTTTGAGCTTGAACTGATTCCGTCTTTGTTGCAAATGAAATCAGTTCCTTTGGAGGAAATTAGGAGTCAGTGCTTTCTGGCCTGTTTCTACCCCAGGCAAAAATCTCTAAGCCAGGGCTGTAGAGCTGTGGGTAGAAGAGTGGTAACCTGCTCTCTGAGTAACACGCCACTGTTACTGCTGAGCCGTCTGTGGGAGAGGGAAGGCAGCAGCCTGGGGTCCACTCAGCTCGCCTCTGGTGTGGATCTGCCACGTCGTGAGCTGGGATGAGCATGGTCAGGGCCCCAGTACTCTCATAACACCCAGCCCAAAAGAGGGCCTCCCTCCCATGAGTTAGGGGCTGGGCAGAATACAGGAGCCCCGCCCTCCCTTGATCACACTCAGATGATGTGTGTGAGTATGTGTGTGTTAGTCGCTTAGTCATGTCTGACTCTTTGCGACCCCGTGGACTGTAGCCTGCCAGGCTCCTCCGTCTATGGAATTTTCCAGGTAAGGATACTGGAATGGGTTGTCATTTCCTTCTCCAGGGGATCTTCCCGACCCAGGGATTGAACCTGGATCTCCTACATTGCAAGCAAATGCTGTACCATCTTAGCTACCAGAGAAACAGGCAGCTAGGCTTTTCAGATTGCCCTCTTTCACTTAGTAATGTGCATTTAAGGTTCTTGTGTTCATGTGTCTGTCTCTCAGACTTGGGAACAGTGGTTTGCCCTATGTCCTCCTTGTTATGGATCCAAGAAAAGGTATTGATTTTCAGTCAGTTCAGCTTTTTACTGCTTGTCAGGACAGAGTGGTGACTTCCAATCTCCTTGCATGTGAAACTAGAAACCAGAAGTTGACTCTTGTCAGTTAATCTTATATTTCCAACCTTGTCATAGTAATTTATTAGTTCGAGGGGGGTTTTTTGTTGTTAATTCTTTGGTATTTTCTACATAGATAATTCATGTCATCTATGTATAAAGATTAATTTATTTCTTCCTTTTTGATCTGTGTAACGTTTATCTCCTTTTCTTGTCGTATTACCTAGGACTTCCAGTATGATGATGCATGGGAGTGGTAAAAATAGACATTCTTACCTTCTTCCTGATCTTAGTGAGAAAGCATCTAATTTCTCCCATTAAGTATACTGTTAGCTGTATGGTTTTTCATTGTGATAAAATATATGTAATATAAAATTCACAATTTTAACCATTTTTAAGTGTACAGTTCAGTGACATTAAGTGCTTTCATGTTGTTGTACAACCATCACCACTACCCACACACTGTCCATTTTCAGAATTTCTCATCATTCTGTTCTTTTGGGTACCTTGGAGTGAAGTTGCTGGATCATAGTAATTCTGTGTAATTTTTTTGAGGAACCTCAATACTGTTTTCCACTGTGGCTGTACCATTTTGCATCCCTGTCAGTGGTGCGTAAGGATTCCAGTTCTCCACATCCTTATAAAACTTACAATTTTAAAATATAGTTGCCATTCTAATGGGGAGATAGTGAAAGTTCATCACAGTTTTGATTTGCAGTTCCCTGCTGAGTAATGATAGTCCTCGTTTTTCATGTGCTTATTGATCATTGGCTTATCTTTGGAGAAATGCCTGTTCAAGTCCTTTGCCCATTA